TGCAACACGATTGCGTTCACCTTACCGTTTTTACCTGTTTTTACCTGGCGCATCCTTTTCGTGTTTAATTGAAAATGTTATCGATCATTTTGAATTTTCTGATTATAAAATTGACAATTACGTATGCATTGATGCAATTTTTCCACAAAAAGGACCTTGATTTTGTGCCACGATCTAAATTTTTAGTTTTATTTTAGAACTATTTGAAGATAGTTAAAAGAACAACACCTATATTTCACGGAGTGCAATTGTGTTGGGTTTTTTCTATGTAAAAAGGTTAAGTGGGTGCAGTCGTGTTATAGTGATCTTGCGTATATATATATCTCCAAGTGATAGTGAAAAAATATCCGTAAATCGGAAAAAGTCTCGATAATATTTTGACCATACTTTTATTTATTATGAACGCTAACGTCATTGAATAATGATAACATTTTTTCGTCAACTCATATTATTAATCAATTTTTATTAATTTGATATCAACTTTTAGACAAACATTTTAAAATCATTTTAAATTTAATTTAAAATTAAGATCTCCAACCATACCACCACTCTATGAACCGTGAAAAGGTATTGTATCTCAATATAAAATATTTTCAAACATTTCGATGGGAACAACACTTCAAGTGTCTTACACATATAAGATTCGACTACTATGACGTAGAAATTATATTTTTACGTAAGAAGAATAACACTTGAGTTATTGAATAATACATAACCTATTAGTTGTAATAATACCTATAGTTACTACTTATTACATGTGCAGGTACTGTACCTAAGCCTTTCCGACATCAAAATGAAAACAATCATTAATTACTCATTAGAAATTAGTCATTAGTACTCATTACATTTTTTCCTTCATTATTTACATTTTTTATAAATTATATATAATTATGATTAATGTTATCGTTATGTTTGAACGTATCATTGGAAATCATGATTTTATAAGAGCAATGAGAAAGATTGGAGTATATAAGTTATAATGTGACATTATATGATCTAGCCTTATTATAATAATAGGTACCTACAGGTATGTAATATTCTATACCATATATACCTCGTAATTGAATCGCAAGCGGTGTTTTGTGAGCGATTGAATGTAAAATTGTTAAAATTAACTAAAAAGCAGTACATTTTTCTTTATTTGTTATTTATACTTATGATATTATTAACGATATTGAATGTCGTTGGCTGTGAATACTGACGACGTTGTTTATGTTATTTTTTTTATTATAAGTGTACAAATGTATACAATGAATATGCAATTTCAGATCAAAATTAAATTATATCGATAACTTGTAACTATTGACTTTATAATATTTGATAATATTAACTATTTACTTGTCACATGGGTATTAAAAAAATGTCTTTATAGAGGTTCTAGGTTACTTCTTACGGTTAACCTCACATGGTCAGTTTATACTATGGTTGGTAGTTTTAATTATTCTTAGCACAGTTGGTTTATACTATTTTTAAGTGGTGGATTGATATAGTACAAATTTATCTTATTGTTTATTGGTCAACATTTTGTACAAAAGGACGAGGGTTTTAGCATGGATGTAAAACATAGGTTTTAGTATGGTTGGATGAGATGGAGAGAAACGACGGACGTTTTATGAGATAAGAGAATTCCAATGAGGCTGAAATGTAAATTTTGTAAGAGCGTAGTGAGACCAACTATGCTATATGGTTAAGAGTGTTGGACGGTTGACAAGAGAACAGAACAGAGTATGAGTGTTGCGGAAATGAGAATGCTTAGATGGATGAGTGGAGTGACAAGAGAAGATAGAATAAGGAACGAATATGTGAGAGGTAGTATTGATGTAGCGTCTATAGTGGACAAGATGAGAGGAAACAAATGTAGTAAGAATTGTTATGAAAATGAACGTTGAAGGGAAAAGAGGAAGAGGAACACCAAAAAAGAGATAGTTGGATACGATTCAGAATGATATTATGGTATATATGTCTTGTTATATATATTTTTTTAATCGTATATATGTTATAATATATTTCTTGTTATATATATTTTTTTAATCGTATATTTGTTGGTGTATGCGTAGGGGATGTAGAAAATTCAGACGAATGGAGCTTTAGGACAAGAGTGACCGACCCAAAATAGTTGGGAGAGAGATGTAGGAGAAAAAGAAGAAGAAGAAGTTTATTGGCAAACATTTTATCTTTTTTTTTTCTTTTATCCTAGGACATTATAGTAAGGCAATTAAAATTCTATTTTATTATAATTGTATGAAATTTAAGATCTTCTTTTTTTCGTAATTTACGTTGTATATCATAGAAATAACTTTTGTGTGACGCGATTTCCCTATTCCAATTATTTTAATCGTAAAAATTCACCACGTGAGGCTGATTTTAACAATATGCCGTACGAAGTAACCGTTTATCATTTTGTTTCTCATCAGCAAAATGAATTCGAAATTGTAATTAGACTCAAATTTTAAATATAAACTATTTAACCCAAATTTAAGTGATTCACACACGAAAAGTATTACTAACAGTATAATTATTAACAGTATTTACATTACTGACAGTGTATTGCTCACATGGTCAGTATAGATTATTGTCAATATTCAGCTTGTTTGGTATTCGACTGGTGAAGGTACAATCGCTGATGAACAGCAGTGTCAACGAATCTTTATTTAATTAAAATAAAAATTTAAAAAAATAAATATATAAATTAATTAATCTTGAGAGTACATCAATACTGCACTCACATCATACGATCAATATTACTGCCAGTATTCCGTTTACTATTAGTAATATTGATGGTTAGATGGCCGCTTTATGAATATATGTATTTATATATAATCCATAAATTTATGATGATAATTTATAAAAAAAATGTAACTTACTTAAATGATTAAATTAATTTTATACATAGCTCATGATTTTTTTTTTCAAATTAATAATTAAAATATAAATAGATACAAATTTATAACAAACGAGTAACAATCAATAAAATTGTTTTGAAAATGAACACATTTTAACAATGATAATATTTATGAATACTGAATAACATTGCAAAATATAATAATAAATATCTAGATTTTCTTAATATTATTATGTAAAAAAATAAATATACTTATAAATACTGTGGTTAAATTCTACAAAAAACATGTACCTATGGCTACACTTTTTTTGGGAGAAATTTAAAATTTCCCAGAATTGTTTTTATCGATGCTTTTCCGATAAATCATACAGTGGTAATAAACAATAATAATAGTACAACGCTTGAACTTTTTGTTCATACGTGACGAGTGATATAAAATATAAAAGTCAATCAAATATGAACTATTACGTAAAAATTATTAGTTATCGAATGCAATTTATTTTGTGAGATTTTTATTCGCTTGACAAGTTATAATTATTGTCTTGTAACCAATTTTATGGACTGCCGCATTGAGTATTTTTCGACGAATTAATTACTATTATTTCAGCCAACCAAATCGATCATTATTCAATCGTTATACAGTAGTAGTCCGTACATTTAAACACGATTTACTTTCAATCGAACAAGACTCCGATTCAGTATTGTTTTTGGTTTCGAGTAAACTGCAAAAGATTTTGACGTCTAATCATCGTTATTGTTGTGATGTGTTATATCATTGATTACAATATGTACATAATATTTGACGGTAATAGTAAAATAACCAACTGACTGTTACAGCAATCGTGCATATACTGTACCCGCGGTATTGTAATACAAGGAATTCGTTGGTGGCGGTGAGGAGGGAATTATTGCGTTCCTTTGTTTCTATCGCCGCAGAACTGTTGTAAGTATCGTAAATTATTATTATTTTCCGACTAAAAACATATTATTTAAACACATTCGAACACTTATCTGAGCAAAGACTGTGAAATCGAACAAAAACCATCGACGTGTCACGTTCTCACGCACTCGCAAAGTAAATGGTGTTTTGTAATCGTATTGTAATCGGTAAAATATTGTTATGGTGCGGATTGAAAACCGCGTCGCTTCGAATTCACTCGACGACGACGGTGGGAAATCGAAATGCCGCGGGACGTTACCGAGATTAGACGTTCATGCGGCTGCTGCCGGTCTCGTCCGGATCAGGACGATGTAAACAACGGAACACTCACGCATGCATCGTTATGACGTATTATTTTACTCGTAAATGTTGAAAATGTTTTTATTGTAAATTTCAGTGCCGAGAATTTCGCGTTCGCGAGTGTGAAATCATGGTCGGCAGATAAACTCCGTTGTCGTCGTACGGTTCGGATACAGGCACGCATTATCATTGTTGTACGCGTTGAAAACGTTGCATACAGCACCGCGATACCTACGCGGCACATATTATTATTACTGCACGAATCCGTAGCGTCGTAAAACATATCATGACCGAGAATACGTTGTCATATTTTCGTATGCCGTCCCGACGTCATAATAAATGTAATATGTATTTATTATTGTTTATTGTGTATTATTGTTATTAATAATATTTTTGTTACACTGTAACAATGATAACAGTCCGCCGCGCAATATAGCAGTGTGCCGGTGGTGGCTTCTGTACGAGCTGCACGTGCACTACGACCGTACATGTAATATAAAAGTCTTTCGACGGGTATAACAAAATACCGCCGTCTGCACTCGTAGGTACTACTAACTACTCGTAACCGCGGCCGAAGGGTGGTTTCTTTGTGTTTTGATTTTTCCCTATACTTTTTCGTCTCTTTCGCTTTCCCCCCACCCACCACCCCCCAGACGTGTGTTTTATCCATCATTCGCTTCGTATTTCGGATATACCTGTCTTGCAGGTACCTATAAAATATATATATATAATAATAATATGTGCTGCAGTGTTTATAATTTTGTTTTTTTCTTTATCCTCGTGGAATATCGTTACGTCCCACCCGGTCACCCGATCGCCCATACGGCTGTGCCCATCTTAACCTGAATATTACCTGTTGAGCGGCGGCAGCGGCGGCGGCGGCACCGGTGCACATGCCACACACCGCATTATTCATTACATTATACGCTTAGTTGGTGGCCGCATTCCGTACCGCGTAGTCGTCGTTGGTATCTCGCGCGCCGTCCGTCCGTCTCTCCGTCGCCTGTAGTTCGTTTTTCGGATCGTTTCGGTGTGCACATTATTATTATCATTTCGAATCTGACGAGTGTTTGGTGTTTGTTTTTGCATCACCAGGTCGCACTATTTTTCCACCAAATAGTCTCCTTGCGTTTTCGTTCTTTCGGGGACTGAGGTTTTTAAATGTGCATTTTCTAGTGATTGGTCGAAAGACCGGTAACTCGCCGTGTCCACCACCCATCGCTGTCGTAACTCAACAGTAAGTGGGCACCTACAGATGTATATTATCTGCGAGATAAGATTTTAAGATTCGAGATAGCTTTTAAATACAATTCGTACGTCGTGATGTTGATGAACCATTAACTACTTCAAGTAAGAAATACTTTTTTTTCATCATTTTACTCTTCTTACTGACGGTTTAAAAATTCAATATTCACGTCCCCTATAATAATACCTATAAAACCTATAAAACCATTTCTTGAAATATTCCATTATTTTTGGCAAATATATACGTGTACGATTAGTTTCGTTATTATCTAAATTTATCTATTCATCAGTCCTTGATTTTTATCTGACCATAGATTTCACGTATATTTCGAATTTCACGAGCCCTCAAATCCTTAGTCACTGTCAGTCTCGGTTTAAGGGTAGCATAAGCCCTTAACACTTTTCCTATTACTGTACATGACTACCATACATGACTTCCATACGCTGTATATTCATGTGTGTGATCCATACTATTCCATCGTTTTATTCAAAATATTCAACTATACACTGTAGTTTTATTTATCCTTTTAAGACTGACTTTAGAACAAACATTTTATTTGAAATGTATAGTTTATCGTGACCCGCTGTTAAGGATCAATATACAAATTATTATTACCCTTAATATTTCCACTTGACATTTGAACACAATTCAATGTCCTTACAATAGCCATCTACATAGTGGTTTCAGCTATTACATGCGTTCAATATCCATTAAACGTGGATATTGTATTAATGGATACACTTAAATTTAATATTTAACTAGACTATGCAAAAACATCGTTGTAAGCCACATTACATATTATCATCAATATTTGTTAATCATTATTATTGCAATGTTACTGAAGTATAAAAATTTTTAAAGATTTTTGAGTAGAGACGGTTGTTGAATTGTTAATTTTTTCAGTACAAATGATTCATTCTCAAATATATTTTTAGGGTTATATTATAAACAATATTATTTGTATGACAAATTATTCAATAATTAAATAAACGATAGTAACCCCTAACTGATGGGATTTTTTTTATCATTCATTTTTCATTCTACTTGTTTCCAAATCTTCTTGATATAATTAATTTTTAACTCTTAATTTCTTTTTCTGAAATATGCTCAGTAAAAAGTGACTATTATAATATTAATTATTGATAGCTATAGGTAAATAGTTTAAGCCGGGTTTACTTTAAACCTCCAGGTGATTATTGTGATATGGATATATATTTTAAATTAAAATAGAATTTTAGTTATGAATATGTAATTATATTTATACTTTAAGAAGGATTCATTTTTCGTTTGTATACCCCAAATTTAAAAGTATTAACTTATTTGTGTTAAATTTCTATTTTTATTTTTATTTTGGTACATTTTTTTCCCCAAAATGCCAAATGGAAAATTTAATAAATTTCAACTTAAAATTTTAAAAACGCTTTCAATGGAACAGTAGATACTTTGGTGATTTCCTCATATCCCCTGCATTCATGCATAGATATAAAACAACTAAAATATGTAATGTGTATGACTTCCATGAAGTGAAATCAATTATTCAAATATAAACTAAATTGAAATATTTTTATTTCCAAAATTAAAAGGGTTAAATTAAAATTAACAATATTTCAGATCTTCAATTGTTAATTAAATTCCTAGATAAATATAGTTGGAACATAAAATGAATGTTGCAACTTATAAGTGTATTATATATATTGTACTTTGAGTTTGTAAGTTGTACTTACATAACAATACAAGTATTCAAATATTGTGATAGAAAATATTTAGAAAAATACGTGTGTTTCAATCCCTATTTCAATCTAAATGTGTTATTTGCCAATCGCCGGTTGTAAAATATTTGTTCTAAAAATAATTTTATTATATACCTTGTACGCCATAGAGTAGGTTAACAATGGATGATTTCCATGATTTAATATCTTCAAATTTTTACACCCACTGAGTACGTGCTTACCATAAAATGGTAGAAGGAATTATATAAACGTATATTTCATATGATTATCTACTTTTTGTATCTTATAATTTGATTCTACATCACTTTATAGTTAAAGAGTATACACTTTAACTATATAATTTAAATAACACGGATATTTAGAGAAACCCATATATTTATATATGTAGTTATATATAAGATTTATTTTGTATATTACATATTCAGCATATTTAGCACATTTCAGCGAAATGCTCTAATTTTTCGAAAAATAATTTTTATACTGTAGTAAAGTACATTTCATTGCATAATTTTCAAATAGTTTCGAATTTGCTTTACATTTGAATAGTTTTTGATTTGTCAACATACTAATTTTAATTAATAAGAGACTTAAACGATCTCATTAATTGACAAAACATCAAACTGATTATATTTGGCGTGCTTGGTTCTATTTTATGCTGGTCTGAAATCTAACCAGTGTTATTGTTTTTATTATCATCAGCTTTACTGCACGTATGTAGATAATATATGTATATTTATATACCTATACTAATATGTTGACGTACCTGAATGGAATTCACTTTGTAACCTGTTGGCCGACCTTAAAGTTGTATATTATATGCAACTCGTTAAAATCATAACCCCTCCATTGTACTATCACCACTGATATCGTCCTATCTCATTTTATTCCGATTTCAGTATGTTATCGATTAAACCATAACTCTGCGGAATTGTATACGATTAATTATCTAGAACTATTCAATGGAGTTTAGAGATGATGCATTTGATTTGCAACATATATTTCTTACTCATTCAACTGGGTCAAGGATTTGAAAAATCATTAATGATCTGTTGTCGCAGCACTTTTACCATAATTGTATTTAATATTATTATAAAAGATGCGATACATCAAAATCCATCAAAATTTACATTAATCGGTTACAAAAATTTAATTAATAATCCTATTAAACTTGTATGTAGTTAAAGTAAACATTCAATACAAAAAAAAAAAAAAATTCACTTATGAAATATTGTTTTTAATAATTTATATTACTTACTATTGCTTACATTTTTTTTTGTTCATATTAATTAGTCGATCTTAATTTAAAAATATAACTAACTAAATATTTTGTAATTTCATTAGGTTTTCAATTTTATTATTATAATAATAAAATCTTTCTTCATTCGTGACAATCACTTTCGAAATTATCTGGCTTAAATGCGGAACTTCTGAGTGCAAAAAGCATAACGATACGAACTAAAGAAATTATTTCCTTGAATGTTCAAATAAAAAAAGTATAATACGTCTATAGTTTTTTAGTTATTATAAATTATAATTTAAATGAAATTTATGGTTATTGTTTTGTAATCTATATGTAATTATTTTAAGAAGATGAGATTTAAGAGTACGAACAATTAAATATACTTATATTTTTACTCTGTTGGTATTGCATTATTATTGCACGTATATTTTATCTTTCTGTTTTGATAAATGATTTTTTCTATTTTTAACTACCAAACTAACTAAACAATGTTATTTATATACTTAATTATAAAGATTATTTATAAAGCTTATTTATAAAGCTTTACATACCACAAAACGAATGTTTTGAAATTCATAACTATTGATACAATTTTTTGCTAGCTAATTTTAAATAATAATTACCAACTCATTTTCAATCACTAAATGTCATTAATTGTAAATAGTAAGTATAAAAAGTTTTAAAGTTTTACAACAAATTGGAATACATGTATTTTCAATCAATATTTAACACATATTATTAAAACTAATTTAATTATTTCCATTTGGTCGGTAGTTTTTTTTCGTTTTTTTGTATATAATTCTTAGCGATTTTTATATACGCATATATATCTGTGCTCAAATAGGTATTTTTATGATAAATTACTTTATGGTTTGAGAATTACTGTAACATAATATCATTTAACAATTGTAACTATGGGAATGTTAAATACTTGCAATGTGACATACATAGAAATACATGGCTAAGTATACTAAAGCAATCGATTTAAAGATTGAATTATAAATTACAACTATTAACCTTAGTACGTAACATTTTATTTTACGTCTCTACGTATATTTATACTTGTAAAGTTCAGTACGAAGCGTAACAATTTAGTAAATACTTTATTTTATATAGTTTCTAAAGTTAAAATACTACTCGCAGATACTGTTACTCGAATTTTGAACTTAATATTTTGACACACGTGCTCTTCCAAGTATTCACTGAGTGGAGAATTGATCATTCTGCATTGGAGTAAAATTAATTACATCTGCTTTAGTGTGTTTTTAAAGGTTTAAAACCGTCCACTAAGCTCGAGTACAATCAGATCCTGAGACTTAGGTGGTAGTGACATTAAAGAGGAATTGATTCCATAAGAGTCCTGAGTTTCATATCTTTTATAGAATCATCCGGCCCCAAAATTGGGATTTAAGTATCTTAGGTGTGTGATATTTCTCAACACTCAAGGTAATATCGAAAAAATTACATCCTGTTTGTACTCAGTTGTCTTTTTTTGCGAGCCATTAAATTATAATTATTGTATAAAGAAGTATATTAAAAATATAAAACTGGGAATGTACATTTGAATTGTATTACAATTCTAAATGACCGTCAAATATATGGAATTTCCTATTCATCGCACACATTTAATCGAATTATACTTTTGAGGGGAAAGGATTCCTAATGATAGTAGATTCGTATTCCAAAGAAATATCATGTGTGACTCATGTGTAACATTCATAAAACAAATACCTAATTACAAGAATAAGAGAATAAAGTTTGAAATCATAGATACGAGTTCAATTTTACGGAACGGTAATTAAATTACGGATGTAAATGAAAAAGGATTCCCCAGCATTATCCATATTATAATATTCGGTTTTATCATCAACATTTGTCGTTTAGAACTGATTTCACATTTTATCATGGATAAAAAAAATATATATATAGCTTAAACACTTGTTTTATCACAACAGACAGTTATAATTACTTAATTCAAAATATTTTCAAGTATCATTAGAAAATGTTGATATAATACGTGGTTTGGTTCTTTGGGATAAGAAAAAATTATTCTTGTAATAATTAATAAATATTTGATTTATTCATTATCAATTTTGATTATGTGTATCAAAGTAGTTTGAACCAATATCAATTT